ACTAGATTTTTGCTGGAATCATGAGTCCTCATAGCAAGGAGGGCTCCTGAGCAAATCTGCTTCCTGTCTGCCTCTGCCTTTTCCTCCACCAGCCCAAATGTCCAGCAGGCTGAGACCTATGGGTAACCTCAGGCTGGATCCACCCCCTTTCACATAATTACATGTTTGCAGTTGCTGCTCCACCCTGGACAAGGTAAACAACAGAGTTGGGACTAGGGTGAGGGGACAAAGAGGTATGTAGGGCACAAAGCATGTGGAAGCGCTCTCTCTCAAGCCACACAGGTGTGTTCTAGGCAGCTCATGAACGCCCAGCTGTACCCCTGGGAAGCAACGTTTAGCACAGGAGGGAGCTCCCGAGGGTGTGTAAAAGTGCAAGCTGAGGAAAGCGAGATGAGGAAACGTGATTGCTGTCCTCAAATGTGTGTAGGGGGAGACACAATAGATTAATTCAGCGCTATTCTAGAAAATCAAATTGGGGCCAGGAAGTAGGCTGATGTCAGCTTTAAAAGAATACAGTTTTTATACAGCAAAGGTGGTACTTATAGTACAGTGTGCTAAGTGCCCACTCAGTAATATCACTCATGCTCACAACTCTGAGGCACTGAGGTACGTCCCTGTCATTGTGCAGAAGAGGAAGCTGAGAATCAGACAGGCCAAGTGATCGGTTTAAGGTCACAGAGCTGCTTAAGTGACAATCAGAATTAGAAATCAAATCCAACCCTGATTTGTATGAACTCTGGGCTCTTAACTACAACACCAAATAAACTTGGATGTAATTAGAACCATTGTATCAGAATAACACATGTGAGCAAAATCTCTACAGTCATCTATCAGGATATTATAAAAAGAGGCCTCTGAAAGGAACTGGAACAGTGACCTTTAAGGCATGTTGCTGACCAAAATGGCAGAGAGCCTGCGGTGACACTTTCCAGCTGCTAAGGCCGGAGGAGGACCGAAACTCAGGCCTCCTTGGCTCCTCCCAGCAGAGCACATAAATATTCTTTGCCCAGGGGTGTGGTGATAAGAAAGCCAGGAAGCATCGGAGAGCGGAGAGCGAGAGACTGGTTTTTCTTCTTTATCAACACTGCTATCGACCTGTGTATGGCCCTGAACTCAGGAACAAGGCAGAAGCCACTGGAGGCTTGTTCCAGAAACCTGGGGATTAAGCCCCACTTCAAGCAGTGCTCACAGAGTCTCCAGGGTGGCATCTAGACTTCCAGTGCTTTTTTAGCAAACAATAGAATTGTCACTGCTCTAGATGACAGTGCTCAGGAGAAAAAAAAATAAGTTTTATATAATAAGTTTGCTTGTATACAAGTTAGACCACTAGTTATAAAGTAAGAGCAACATCATAGTACTGAATCAATTTTAAAACTCTCTGGTCTCCTACAGTCCTTAATTAAACTATAGATCTTGCCCCAACTCTACCGTTTTTAGGTCCGAAGGGCCTTGAATGCCATACCATGGCTGTTCCAGAGCCAGTATGATTGTACTAACTTAGAATCTTTTTGGTAGATGATGATGGTAACCAATAAAGAACTTTGAAGCTAGGGAAAGTGGAGCACATCTATAATCCCAGCACTCCAGGAGGCTGAGGCAGGAGGACTCCAAGTTCAAGTGGAGCCTGGTTACTCTAGCAACTTACCATGGCCCTGTATCAAACTAAAATTAAAAGGAAGCCTATGAATGTAGCTCAGTATGAAGGTTCTGTGTTGTATCCCCAGAAGCATCAAAAGTAGATATGAGAGAGAGAGGAGGTGAGCATAAGTAGCTACTTCTATACTATTTTGCTACAAATTATAATGCAACCAAGTTTCAGACTAAATTTTGTGTGTACATTATTAAATAAACAAACATGGACAAGTAGAAACAACTGTCAACCTGTTTCATGAGATCAATGAATTTGCAACTCTGTGTCTGCCTTTTTAGGTGTCCAATGCACCTGGCTTGAAAGTCTCGCCAGCCGACAGAGGCATTTGCTGGCACGAGGTGCATTCTATATGAGGTGCGTTCAATCAGAAATCCGTGGAACTGATGACTAGACAGGGCACCAATTTTAGATCAAGCCTCAGGAACCATCCGAACACTGAGTTAGTTACGCATCTAATGTGTTCTTGTCACCTGCTCACTCAAGGTAGAGTGGATCTCTGAACTATTTTAGCCATAGTTTGCTTTTATAACACTCCTTGTGCTAATTTAAAAGCTATTCATTTTACCAATAAAATATCTTATTACTATCAGAATGCTAACTTTCAATGCTCTGTTATAGATAAATAGATCATAGAAAAACTTGTAGTTTCTGATTATTCTTAGCTTAGGCTAGTACCATTGGCAGAATATTAGGTGGTCAATCCTCTGAAGAAATAAAGCTTCCACTGCATGTATGTTAGGTCACTCTGGTTGTAAAGTAAATTACAGACATTCTAGCAATGGCATCGTGTAAGCATGGGCACTGTTTAATGCTGAGTATGGTGGGCTTTGGCTCACTTTGTGGCAATACTTTTGGTGACTAAGAACAGTAACTATGCATATGAAGTTATCTGGAAGACACTTAAATTGACAGCACTTGTGATGAGCAAACCTGGGATTGAATCCTTCTCACAGTTTATATTACAGGTGACCTCACACGATCCAGCCTCTGGGCACTCCCTCCTAAGGCCACGACAGCCCCAGGTCTGGGCTGACATCAGTGACGCTCCCCAGTGAAAAGGACAAAGGATGATGAATTTTCTATCACCAATTGGTTACTTTGCTTGATCCTTGCATCTTATTTAAGGAAGGTAGACTGAAGGTAGATGGAAGGTAGACCTCAAACTCATCATGCTCCTCCTGCTTCAGCCTCCTGAGTGCTGAGATTACAGCCATGCATCAATGCTATGCTTAGCAATATAAACCAAGGGAAGAATTCAGTCATAAGTTAAGTCATTGCAAGTACTGTCAATATCAACCTCTTCCAGAGTACTGAGATCTCGAGTATGCACCACCATGCATGGCCTTAAACTGATAGCATTTTGTGTATTAGTCTATGAAAGCAAACCTACATTTTACCCAGAAGATTTTCAACTTCCCAGTTTTTGAAGCCTATAGACACTATAGACAAAACTATGAGGTATGATCAAAAAGTACAGTGAGGTGTTTTGTGGGGTTTTTTTATGTTACAGTAAAAGCTACATTGCCATTAATCCCCATAAAAGATTCCCCCTGGCTTCTAACACACTTAGGCCATAATTCTTGTTACTTTCTGGAGCAGTTGTATAGGTCCTTTTCTACATGTATCTTGAGTTGTGCTGCTGCAGCTGCCTCAATGTCCTGAATGAAATCAAAATGTTTACCATTCACAGTCATTTGACATTGAGGAAGAAGTTCAAAAGTGTCACATCTGGTGGATGAGAACACACTGCAACGATTTTACAACCGTACCTTTCCAGTAGATGACAGTGTATGCCTGTCACCACCTTATGTTGGACCTTACCTTGTAACGACACAAAAGCAGGCTTCCCAAACTGCTTCAGAAAGTGGCAAGAAAAGTGGGGTAAGTGTGTTCAAAGTGGGGAGTTCTTTGAGGGGAGATTGATATTCACCATAAGTTTGATCACATCTTATATATGCAGATTCAAACAGATGACAAGGTGAGACAAGGGCTTGAGAGACACTAGGCAAATGTCAACATACACTTCATGCTGAAGGGAAAGGGTGGAGTCACAGAATGACCAACAACATTGGGTGGAGTCATAGAATGACCAATGACATTTTATCCAGTCATAATGGCATGCTCTCAGTTTAGAATCCACCCTTTAATAACTTCCCAAAATATTTTCTGAAAACATAGAAACCAATACTTAGCTCTAAAATAGGCTATTATACAGCCTAAGTTTACCTGTAATAGGAAAATGAAACTGGGCCTTTTCATTGGTAGAAGAGGCAGGGCTTTCAATGTTAATTCCATGAGACACTATCCCTTTCCTACATAGAAAATCAGTAGCGTCATTTAGGGTGAGCTGAATCTTCCCAAGGCTTCTTTATAATTATGGAAGCCTGACTTGAGGGTATGGACATTTGGGCTTTGGTGAGAAGCAGCCTTGTATTGTCCTCTCTATTCCCAGGTGTGCCATGGACCCAGTATGACAGAAGCAAATCACCTCATCTTCTCACTGGGCTTCATATGTGCCCTGGGTGCTGTCTGGACCCTTTCCCTATAGAACGTGCCATATCTTGAAGAAACCAATTAGCTCTGCCCAAGAAAAAAAGGTTCAAGGTGCAAGGAGTGCTCCAGGGCTCACGTCTGACTCAAAGTCCTGTGTGTGCTAACAGCGAATGGGAGGAAATTTAATATTTAATTTCCTGAGGTTTTTTTTTTTTTTTAAAGACCTGTCCTGCACAACAACTCACTAAAGTTTTCAATAGTTGAGCAAAACAAACCAGAACACACTAAAACCGGCTTCACTGGCGATTTCCACCTAAGTTAACACATGTGATTTGGTAGGCAAACATAGAGCTGAAGACCAGATGTTTATGACTGCAGTCCACAGAGCTGATTGTGGAGAAGCGAACAGAGCAGAAGGGAGTGGGCGCCGGAAGACTGGGCCATCCAGGTGTACGGAGTAGTTTAAGGCAACACTGCTAAAACTCAACATTTTTCAAGTCTGAAATGAGGAAGCTATCACACTTAAAAAGTACTTTTAAACAGAGAAATACCATACAGAACAATATGTAAGCCAGAAAAATGAAAAAAAAAATCATAATACTGATCTCTTTATTTAGATTTTTGATTTGGAGGTTCATCGTGGATTTATTATTATTATTATTATTATTATTAATTATTTTGAGTCTTATATACTGCATACAACTATCGCCGCTGGGCGGCTGAGGTTTCTGGAGTGCCCTTACATTTCTCTGCCCCTGCAGGTGCCTCGCTCCCCCAACCCTTGCCACCCGGGCCCGGGGTCGGCTGGTTGGTCCCCAAGGAAAGGGCTGGGTGGAGGGCTGAGCACCCGGCCTACCTCGCCTGTTCTGCGTGCCGTGCCTCTTGGCCAGGGCGAGCTCTCTCTGGATCCGGCTCTCCAAGTACTCCTGCTTCTTGCCCAGCATCTCCTCGGTCTCCCGGAGTCGGGCCAGAGCCTCCTGGGCGCTGGGGGCAGCGCGGCCCTTCGAGGACCTGCCCCGTTGGAAGAACTTGCCCAACTTGCTCATGGCTGGGAGCGGGCAGCGAGGGAGCCCGGCTGGGGCGCCTGTCCTGGCGGCCTGGGGAGTGAGAAGTCCGCTCGGGGTCCCACACCCGAGAGGCTGCGCTCCTGCGAGTCAACAAGTCGTCGGGGCAGGTGACACACTCTCCGGGGCATTTCCTGGCCGCCGATTCAGCCCCGCCCCTCAGCGGCTGCCCGGCGGGAGGGCCCCGGGATCCTGGCCGGTCGGCGCCACCCTGCCCCCTGGGACTGCGGAGACCTGAGAAGGCTGAAAAACCCGGGAAGACTGCTCCCAAGCTGCCGCCGTGTCGGCACTGGGGACGCGCCAGGGATGGAGAGCTGGTTTGCCAGTGGCTCAGGGAAAGAAAACCAGTGATCCAGGGTGTTGTGCCGGCCTGAAAGGTGTGGGTAAAGAGTGTGTTTGTGTACCTGGATATGCAACTTGCTTCATTCTATGCGTGTGTGTGTGTGTGTGTGTGTGTGTGTGTGCATAGTGTTCTCATATTCGGATCTCTTGTGCGTAAGAACATTCAGATATTTCCCTCCAAGAGTTATTTAGGTGAGTGTGCCTGACCTGGGGGACATTTGCTTACCCCCCTGGGTGCTAATGGATAAACAGAAGCAGCTGGGCCGGCTGAGCTTGACCACATTTTTTCTGGTCATCTTTACAAGGCTTCAAGTGGATGAAAGTGGTGGTCTTCTCTTTTCCTAACGTCAGGACTTGTGATGTTTCTGTTCTTGCATTTACTTCTGTAACTAGAATGTGAAGCTTTTAGTGTGATTGTCTGTGTACCAAAAAACCAAAAAAAAAAAAAAAAAACAAAACCCTTTTACAGGGCTATCCTGTGTGTTTAGATCTTTGCCAAATGCTTTCACAGACATCTAAGTAGCAAAACATAAAAAATAACCTAGAGAAAAGAACTATCGTGGGCTGGCGAGATGGCTCAGTGGAATAAGCACTTCCCTGGCAAGCACAAGGACCTGAGTTCAATCCCTGGTTCTGCCAAAAACAAAACAAAACAAAACAAAAAAATAAACCTTCTTTGGAAAAAAAAAAAAAGAAATATCATTTTCTCATGCTCACCATCTCTGTCCCATCTATTAGAGCGGCAAGCAAAAGACCTTCATGAAATGACAGGACAGCAGTATAGAATGATCGCAGGTGACATATCACTATTAGACGTGCCACTATTAGAGGTAACATGTGGAATTCCACCTGTGCCTGGTTTTCGTGGACCAGCATGGTACGCTGCCTTATTTAAGCAACATTACCCAACATTATTAGAACCTATTTGTGATCATTAGCCAACCTCTGCTAAAAGGGCAAATGGCATCCATTACTATGACAAATTCACCTTGATCTCCAAGATCAATAGCACAATTTTGTCTGCCAGCATATTAACACAGGGCAGTACATTAATCTATGTTATCCACCATTGTTATTGTTGTTGTTGTTTTGCAGTACAGGAGATCAAACTTGGGACCTTGTACCTGCCAGGCAGGTGCCTCTGCTGCTGAGCTATATCCCCAGCCCTCAGTACTGCACAGAGAGCAACAAGTTTTGCCAAAGAAATTGAACATTTTCACAGGAGTCTTACCAGTATACTGTGTGCGCTCTCTCTCTCTCTCTGTCTCTCTCTGTCTCTCTCTGTCTCTCTCTGTCTCTCTCTCTGTCTCTCTGTGTCTCTCTCTCTCTCTCTCTCCCTCCCAATTTCTAGGTAAACCCAGCCTCTTACCATCTTCTTTCTGGCCATCAAAAGCATATGCAGCACTTATCTGCTCTAATTTGGCATAATCATAAATAGTAACAAGTGTCATATATTTTCGCTCTCTCAAAATGTCATGAACATGTTTTGGAGCTCATTTTCTTGATTAGATTCTTCAGCCCTTTGAAAGCTGAGAGGTAGAAAATACTCTGCTGTGGCCCCCATCGCCAGTCTGTTGGCCCAACCTTCATTGTTTCCTATGTAGAAGGTAAGGGGAATGCAAGCCAAGTCCCCCTTCAAGAACTCTCTTTCTTTCCAGGGAACAGTGACATCCTTTGAACTGCTGTGTGGCAAGCATGCTATACTTCATTATCAATTATCTCTACATGAACCCTGCAGAACAGGCATTGCTATGTCTGTTTGATAGATCAAGTACCAAGGCTCTATTGGCTACTAGACCACATGCACATAGGCAGTAAAAGCTTTTAAAACCTATGATCTTTTCACTATTTGTATGACCTTCCTTACCCTGTGTTGGTTCGGAAGAGATATTCATTAAATGTATGTTTAATTTTTAAAAATGGGCGAGGAATTTGTTATGAGTTTACTAAATTTAAGAGATCCCACAAGCATTAATCTCATTAAGCTGTGAGATCTGTTGGAACAGGAAAGGTATCTTTCATCTTGGTTTTAATCATAGCCCCAGTACCATGAGCACAATGCCTGTAACATAACCTCTTGTTAAAGGGTACATTCAAATAGGAGACTAAAATATTGCTTTGTGGTAGACTGATTATACTTTTTATTGAAAGAACATGGAACAAGTGGAAAGTGGCCTGAGAGTTATAGTGAAGAGGTGGGTACTCATCCATGTTTTCATTAACCTTACACTTGCTGAGGTTATGTTACAGACATTGTGCTCGTGGTACAGGGGCTATGATTAAAACCAAGATGAAAGATACCTTTCCTGTTCCAACAGATCTTACAGCTTAAGAAAGATGCCAGGAGTTAAATAAATTATCTCACAGATAATGGACTTTGTAGGTTAAACTTCTAATAATTTCTAGGGAAAAGTATAGAACTATGGGAATAAGTAATAAGTAAATAAATGAAACTGATCTCTTGAGATCAAAAGATGTCCTGAAACAGGGCCATGTAAGTGGAAATTTAAGGATGATAGAAATTACCAAAGTTTGCAGAAGTGAAACTAGTGTATCCAGCATAAGAAATCACTCATTTCTTCTTTTATCTATTTTTTATTTATATATTTTGTCTGAGTGCATTATATATAACCAACATAGCTCTAAATGCAGAAATTCAGTAGTAAATAAGAAGACAAAATTCCATGCATTTTGTAGTCTAGTTTCTACTTAAGAGAAGACAAAATTAATTAATGAAGTAATAATTAATTAATGAAGGAAGGAAGTAATGTTCTAAATGTGATAGATGAAAAAAAATGGAGATTATTAGAAAATTAAAATACTGGGGGCCGGAGAGATAGCTCAGCGGACTAAAGTGCCTGCTTAGGCAAGCTTAGGCAAGCGCAAGGACCCTGGAGAGATCCCCTGGCCCCACATGCTGTGTCAGCCCCACGCCCTGGGCAGGTTAAGCGGCTAGAATCCGGGTGTAGTGGCGCACAACTGTAATCCCAGCACTGGAGAGGCTGAAAGCAGGAAGATCACTCTGAGTCTGAGTTGCATAGTGAGACCCTGCAGCAACTCTCTCCCCCCCCATATATATATATGAAAATTAAAATGCTAATCAGTATGTGCAAGTGTATTCAGTTTGTAGCATCAGAAATTGAAAGGAAGACATTGCAGCTGGGACATAGAGATAGGACAGTGCAATGAGAGTACCTTCAAAGGTAGGCAAAGTCCAGATCATGGCAGGTCTGTACCATGTGCTAAGGATCCCATACTTTAGTAAAGAAAAAATAAAATTAATCAGAAATTAAATAATCTAGTCATCAATTTATAATTCAGTGAAGAAAAACTACCCCACTGATTATGCAGCAATTTCAGAAGCACATATGGTATGCAAAACAAGATACATTTAAATTAAAAATCATTCCCTTCCATTAATACATAAATTCAGTGGGGAAAAGATAACACTTAGAGCAAGTAAACCATCCAGATATATATTAGTATTTAATTCATCAGTGAGATGTAGAAAATAAATTTTTAAATCAATGGCTTAAAAGCTGAAAATAATACATTAATCTTCATTCAATACTCATCCTACAAATGTGGTTTCATAAAGAGTTCTCAGCATCTAGTGTATTTTTCATTTTCTAATCTCAATTGATCTCAGCTAATAAGGAGGCTGTTGTTCAAAAAGAATGATCTTGTTCTGGATGATTTACCGCGGTTAAGATGGCAAAGGAAATTGGAAATTTATAGATCTGTTCAAAAGATCTCTGTGGCAGGCTAATTGATACATTTTGGCTACCTCTTGAAATTGCATCCATTTTAGAATGCCAAATGAGCTCACTAAAGCAACACAAGAAGAATTACCCCTTAAACATACTGCAGAATAATCATCAAATAGATATTTATTAACCAGCTCAACAAGCACGCACACACTCTTTTCATCAGCAGTTCTTTTGGCTTCTTAAACCTGAATACTGATGGTCTGTAATGCTCAATTACAATAAAGAGGACAAAAGTAGATGTTATAAAAATAATAATTTTGTAAAAATGAAAGTTTGACTGCCCTAATTCAGAATGAAAATATATGGTGCCTTTGGCTGAGTTTTTCCATGTGTTTTATCCATGTTCATTGCATCCCTGATCAGAAAGAAATTTAAAAATCTAAGGTTTGTTACAGCAGATTATAAATGTTTCCTTCCTACACCAACCGTATAATGGATTTAAAATGAGATGTAGGGCTGGGGAGATGGCTTAGTGGAATAAGTGCTTCCCTGGCAAGCACAAGGGCCTGAGTTTAATCCCCAGTTCTGCAAATAAATAAATAAATAAATAAATAAATAAATAAATAAAATGAGATGTAGCCCCCTACCTCAATGTCACTCTTATCGTAGAACTTATTCAACACTGTCTTACACTATTTCTTTACCACCAGAATTTCATTATCCTTGAATATAACCACATTTTGTATCTAATCAAGAAACACACAACTTTTCCCCAGTGCTGTTCCCTTCTTTCTCAATTAATAACCTCTGGCTTCTTTTTACTCAAATCAAAAACTCTGAGTCTTCCATGACCTACCTCCAACCGTCATCAAAATCCATCTCTATCCAACTGATAGAGAATATTGACTATTTGTCACCATTTCTAAAACTGTCGAGCCGACCCCGTCTGTGCTTTGAGCCACAGTCAACCCTTCAAGGTTATCCCAGTGGACTTTAAATGAACTTCATACTAATGTCTTTACAGTCTCCCTGCATCACAACTAGAGCAGACCTGGGCAAAATATTCTGATGACTTCCCTTCTCACTCTTGTTAAACGCTGTGGGCATCACAAATGTCCTCAACCCCTAATGAAGTGATACCTTTTCCCCCTAATTCAACAATACCTCCCTGCGCATACTGCTCCCCGTCCTCTCTGCTCCTGCCTCTCTGGGTTCACTGTGGCTCAAATGTGCAGTCTTAGCCTGTCTGCTTCTCTACCTAGAAACTGGCCGCTAGGTATACACTTTGTTCACCCCATCACCTTTTGTAAGCCTTTCCTTGTCACCACCTTACCCTACCATATTTGAAGTCACTAACCTACCCTCTAACACC